ACTGAAAAACTGTCTTACCCCGTTCTGAGCAGTCATACATCTCCTTTTTGTTCAGAATTATATGGAGTTTTAGATAAACCTGCAAGAATATATTTTTATGATCTTTTTTAAGAAGCTCTTTGGAATTCTGGAGCAAATGCACTTATTTATCAGCATGTACAACTATTAACTTTGTATTTTCACAAAATTTGCACTGTGCATGACACAGTGTTCCAGTGTTTTTCAAGAGAGACCACCTGTGTGGACCCACTAAACTTAATCTATTTGAAAGTAGTATGTCTTTCCCCACGGAAGGCTTGAAATATTAATAAATTACGAATATGGAATGATTATCATAAGGCATTTCTACTACTGTTCAACTGTTTTTTTTAAGGTTTAATGCTACCAGGAATTCCAAAATTAAAACATAACCGTTAAAAGTTAGTATCAGTCCAGTCCTAAGTGCCCTGACTTTAGCCTATCTCTAAACATTTTCAGTTCAATTTTTCTTGAGCTCAAGTACTTGACGTTAATTCACAGTGTAAAATACTGCCCTAGCTCATTTTTACGAAGAGGCCAGTGAGATTCCTAATGAACACAGGGCAAGCAGAGGCCCAGCTGTTTGCTGTCTGAGTTCTCTACTGCTGGACTACAGGCTGCAGTGCCTGCCACTTTGGTGCTGTTTTCTGAAGGTGCTAACTGAACTTCTAATCCTAGCTATTATTAAGGACTGAAGTTTTGGCCTACTTATTTATCAAAACAAGACTGCAAAACGGTCTCAAGAAAACCCATGAGGATAGGTCAGTAGGACAAGAACCAAGGATATACCTAGGCAGGAATAATCAACTGCACAAATACAAAACCAAGGAAAAAAAAAAAAAAACACCACCCTTCACCTATGTAAAAGGCTCCTGGCAAAGCCAATAGGAGTCATCTGTCCCCCATATCTGTGACAGACAGAAACAATTCAAACTGCAGCAAGGAGGAGCTGGGACCTTTTCAACTGCAAGGTCAGTGATCCCTGGCGTGGAGCCCTTTATCTCAGCAGCTCTGCAGGACGGGAGACACTGCGTTTCCTCAGGTAAGCTGCTGCCGGGACAGCACAGGTGAAGAGCTCCCGCACTGTGCAAGGAGTCCGCGCACAGCGGCCTTGGCAACTGAGGGCAAGAGGGGTCTCTGGACTGTGCAAGAAAAACGAGCACGTTGCCACATGCCTAAACGTGCTCCCCAGCAGCCTGGGCCTTTCCCAAAAGCTGGGGAAGTTCACAGGGTAAGAAAAAGAGCTCTCTACACATACAGCTGGAGAGGTTGCTCTACAAGGAATACGAGATCTGATGTTGCATTTTTTTCCTCTGAAATATGTAATTGCTAAGAGAACACTGAGAAAATTGACTTCTTTGTAACTCTTACCTGGGCTGTCTTGTCCAGCGCTTGTGGCTGGCATTTGTGATACATGAAGACAGAAGCAGCATTTTGATAATGGTGTGCAAGTAAGAAAAAAATCACTTAAATACAAAATTTTGCATTAGATTATTCTGTGACCTCAAGATCTTTCTCACTTCCTTACAGTTAGCTTGAAAAGGAAAAGGTCCAGCAAATGCACACTAATGGCTGAGTCAGGGAGTCAGATCAAAAAAATTCTCACCTGTTTACCTGTTATCCAAACAAACATTACTGAATTACTAATTCTATTCAGAGCGTTTTTGTTAGGCATTGATCTGATAATCCATAATCTATTTACAAAAACCTCGAAATAATTAGCCACTTGCATTTTTATGCATTTTTACAGATATACAGTATGTATAACATACAAAATATATTAGTATAAATATATAAAAATACAATGTTTAATATATTTATAAATACATAAAATGTATTTAAAATATATATAAAACTGCAAGTACTTATTTTTATATATACATTTATATAATAGTTATACTACTTAATTTATACAAAATGTACTATTTATTTTAGCTTTAACCAAATGCATAATTAAATATATGGCCATTTAGTTTGCTAGTTGGGAGCATGTGCTTTTAATAAATATAAGGATAATATAAGGAGCATGTGCTTTTAATAAGCCTGACTGCAGGCTGCCCAGAGAGGTTGTGGAGTCTCCTTCTCTGGATATCTTCAAAACCTGCCTGCATGCCACCCTGTGCCATGTGCTCTAGGTGTCCCTGCTGGAGCCAGGGGTTGGACTACATGATCTCTAGTGGTCCCTTCCAGCCTTAGCCATTCTGTGATTCTGTGACTGAATTTACTGGCAGCCCCCTTGAGCTACTGAAGTTTTTTTTTGTGGCATCCTGCCTTGATGATTTTCAGCCCTGATTTTGATTTACCCAGACTAGGAGCTGGTAAATTCTTTGCGGACTGCTGCTTTGATCCAAATAAGCTGTTCTTCAAATACTGTCTCCTAAGAATGAGTGATTAATCATTAAGAATGCTGGCATACCTGTGAGAGCAGCCCATTTTAAAATGCTTATGTAATATGCATTTCTGTTTGAGAAGGGGAAAGAATGAAGCAAACAAAAGTAAGAGTGCCAGGAAAAAGCAGAAGGAGAATTAGTCAGTTTGAAGGCTGCTGGTAAACTGCTATGTGAGATACCTGAGGCATAAATGCCTCTGTTCTAACAGCACTTACTGGTACCGTGGATGGGGATGCCAGAGCGACTGAACTGTTTAGACTGGCACCAATCAACCTGCGATAGCATCATTTTTTTTCTTCCTGTTGCAGTAAAAGAAAAAAAATAGTCAAGCCTTTAGTTGTACTGCAAGTATTAAAAGAAGTGCTAATGACTGATTCTGTTTTAGTATGGACTCAGAGGCTTTCTTTATTGATTCTGATAGGAATACTTCTGTTGTTTCACTCCAGTGCTTGGTGTCTCTGGTGCACAGAGTAGCCTGTCACACTGATTCTAAGGAGAGCTGAATTCTGTATCTACCTTTGTTAAGGGACTTGGAAGTCCAGACCTAACTAGCATAGCCACTGGAAATGGCAACAGAAAAATTGACTTGTACCCCACATTTGTGCAGAAAGTGTAGTACAGTTTGCACGAAGTGGTTTGCTGGGCATCATCCTAAGTTGAACAGTCCTTAGCAGCATGAAAACTTGGGTGCATGCTGCAGTACTTCCATAATTAATGCACTCTGGAGTATGAGCTTTGTTACTCAAAACAATTTATTACATGTTAACTTATTAACATATGAAAATACCCATCTAGAAATGCTATCTTATCTTTACACTCTATGCTTAACATACATTTTATGTGTTTTAAAACATACTGCAAACCTTGAGCACAAATTCTAATAACAACAGTGCACTACTATAATTTCACAAAACTTTATA